CTGGCGGGTGCCATTCCCCATGCCCCAGGGCTTTTCTGCAGGGCTCCAGCTCAAGCCCTTTTGCGCCTTCAACTCCAGTGCTGAAGACAGAGCAGTGTGGTCTCTGGGCACTTCAGATCCCACCAGGCCCCAAGCCATACCCACCACAGCGTTTCCTCCTACCCGGCACCCTGCCTCCCACTGTGATACGCACGGAGCTCCCATAATGCTCGTGGGGCTGGGGCCAGGGCAGGGTCTACACGTGCCATTTCCAGATGCCAAGCCCAGTGTCCATCCGAGGCTCTCCTTGGAGGCTGATGTGACTGCTGGGGCCCTCATTCCTGCCAGCAGCAAGTGGACCAGGGCAGTGCCCTCCAGGAAGGAGGTATGTGGGAATGCCAGGCCCTCAGACAGAGCTTTTTACCCACGTGCCTAGGAGCTCCAAAAGGACAGCAGACAGTGGGCCACGAGCCCTAACAGCAGCTGAAAACAAAACACCTGTTTATTTCCCAAAAAGAGAACACCGGGTGCTTGGGGAGTCCCCACCCCGGTGTGTACCACAGGACAGCCACACGTCACTTCCAGAAGAGCACGTTCCAGAAGAGCAGCCAGCAGGGATAGAGGCCCAGAGCCAAGAGCGGAAAGAGCAGGGCGCCGTAGGTGTGGTGGTCCAGCACGCCCTGCGCCAGCGCCGCCAGGAAGAGCTGCCAGCCTTCGGCCAGCGACAGCGGGGCCTCCTGCAGCTCCCGCCAGAGGAACAAGCACCCCAGGAGAGTGGCCGCGGGGCTCGTCAGCACCAGCAGGGCGGCATACAGCGGCCTGGGGGGAGAGGCAGGGTCGGGCTGGGCTCCGTGGTGAGGAGCACAGGCCCCGGGTTGGGGGCAGGGCACCTCGTGTGGAGTTCTGTGACGGGGGCTGACCGGCACGTACCGGGGCCCACAGGGGTGGGTGAGCGCGGCAGCGGGCACCATGGTGGCGGCCAGTAGGAAGCCCAGCGAGAAATTGGTGAGGGCAATGCAGGCCAACTGTAGTGCCAGGTAGATGAGAGCCACTAGCTTCAGTGCCATCCAGCCTCTGTCTGGGGCCTGTGCGCTCATCACCCTGCAAGACAAGGGGCTCGGAGGCAGCTGCCTGTGTGTCCAGGGTACCCTCTGTCCCCGCCCGGCTGGCCCGGCTGCTCACCGGTGGGTGCTGTGTGGAAGGGCCAGGCCGGCCGCATAGATGGCCAGCAGCGTCAGCACCACGGCCTCGGCCTCGGCCACGGGGAAGTGCTGGGTAGCCACGTGTTGGCCCAGCACTGGCAGGACGTAGAGGGCCAGGCCCATGGCCTGTGAGATCAGCAAGGGAGCCACAAGCGAGGCCAGCCCCACGCTCTGCAAGGGCACATGGACACTTGGGACCTGGGCCTTAGGGCCAGGGGGGCCCCAAGGATCCTCACCAACACCCCACCAGTGGAGACTGAGTGGCAGCAGTACCAATCACCGGAACCCCAGGAGCCCTCCCCAGCAGGAGGGGGGGGGCCATCACCTGTGCCGGAGGGAGGGGAGGACCAGGTCCAGAGGCGCCCCCAGCCTCCTGAGGGCCCGCTCCGGCCTCATGCAACTGCATCCACAGTTCCAGAGCGTGGTCTAGTCAAGGACCCTGACAAGAGCTGTGATGGGATCTGCCCAGCGGGGGCCCCAGGGCCCATCCCACTCCCCCACTCCAAGGACCACGGGCTCTCCCAGCCTAGAGTGGAGGGGACCCGAGGCTGGCCGCCCGTCAGAGGATATCTTGAGACCAAGGACCAAGAGCAAAAAGCCAGCAGCGGGCATGTAGAGGCCGATGGAGACGAAGCGCGAGAGCGCGGGGAGCACGTAGAAGAAGAAGGACTGGTGCAGGCGCTCCAGAAGGTGGTTGAGCTTGCGGAACATGCCCTCTAGGGCCCTGCCGGCGTGGCGCAGCGTCAGGGCCAGCCGGACCCCCCAGCACCCCCTCGCCCCCCTAAGCAAGGAAGGGGGGAGGACCAGAAGCCACTTACTTGCCCACTGCCACTAAGTCATACTTATGCTGTCGGAAGCTATTGATGCCACGTACGGTCAGGGCCTCCACACGGTAGCGCAGGAAGAGGCCGTGAGCGCCATGGGGGCGGCCAGAGGCCTGCTGCAGAGTCATGAGCAGGAGTGTCTGCAGACCCTGCAGCGGCCCGTCTACCGATGTCCGGTCCTGGGGCTGCAGCTTAGAGGGTTTGGGGACGAGGTCAGATGACCCCCACACAGGTCCCAGGCCGCCCAGGCAGGCAGCCCCCTTACCTTGCCCTGCAGAGTACACAGCAGTCCCCCTTTCTGACAGAAAGTCTGGAAGAGGTTGAGCAGATCAAGATTGGGCAGCTGCCCGTTGAGCCCCTCCACGGCCACATCAAGGCTGGTGACCACGTCGCTACTGAGCTCCAGGGCCAGGGCTGCCTGGATGGCCCCAGCCCGGCCCTGCAGAGGGGATGACTGCATGCCTGTAGGAGCAGGTGAATGAGGTGCCAACAGAGGGCTGGCGCGTACAGTGGCCCTGAGAGAGGGGCGGGGCAGGGCAAGAGCACCCACCGGTGACGTTGGTGTCGTGGTAGGCCTCAAGCCAAGCCTCAGTGCCCAGAAGGTCCTGCTCTGTCACCAGGAAGATGATGTCTTTGGCCCAGTAAATCTGCCCTGAGGACCAGAAGCTGGTCAGCAAGGCCTGGTACAGAGGCCGAACCCTCCCTTGCCAGCAGTAGCCCCGGAGCCTCACCCCGAAAGTGGGCAGCAAGCGCCAGCAGCAGCCCCACAGCCTGGCTGTTGGTAGAGTCGGGGCCGCAGGGTACAGTGAGCACCAGGGATTCGGTGCTGGCGGCGCGTGGGGCCCGCAGGATGCCATACACGTTGGTACCGGCCACCATCTGTATGCAGTATTGGCGGGGAAGCCTCAGCACCACCCCACCCTAGAGTGCTGAAACCTCTCCCCTTTTCGCCCTAGGATGCCCGTTAGGAATTTCCTGGGTCCCAGGACCTGGCACCACTGAGCTTCCCAGTCCCAAGCCACCCTCTCAAGGTCTTTTTTGGTCCCAGACACATCCTCTCCCCCACAGTACATAGCGTTCGCGGGTCTCATCAGGAAAGGGCAGTTTCCGGGAGAAACTCTGCGTGTAGACCTCCAGCCCCACTGACCGCATCGTCCGCTCCAGCCAGGCCACTGGCAGAGCCCTGGAGGCACAAAGAGAACCTTTAAGAGCTCCCTGACTTTGACCACCACTGTTTCCTCCAGACCCACAGCTCTACCGCTCACCCCGTCTTCCTGCGGTGGGCAGCGAAGTCTCGGGCGAAGCCTCGGGCACGCTCTCCGCCCGCAAACTGCTCCTCCACCATGGTGGAGCCCATGGCGTTCTCCGACATGTATGTGCGCTGGGTCAGGGGCGGAAAAGCCAGCGCCAGAAACCAGGCGATACCCGCCACGTAGCTCAGCACGCTGCAGGGAGAGGGGACGGAGGAGACCGCCGGAGCGTTAGGGGGTTCTGACACCGCGGCCCGTGGCCTCCACCTCTGCACCGGGGGTGGCGGGGGCGTGTGTGAGGGACCTGGCCCTGGAGTCCGGGCACCCGGGACGTCGGACGGGAGAGCTGAGCCCCGGGCCTCCTGCCCCGAGCGATGCCGGCGGGAACGACGCGACTGGCGCTAGCAGCCGGAGGGGCCGCCGGCGGCCGCAGCGCCGGGTTCCCCGGGCCCCGCCCTTACCAGAGCGGCGCGTTGAGGCGCAGCACGAGGCGGGCGAGGGCGCGCCGGCGCACCGGGTCCGACAGGAGGCCCATGGCGGGAAGGGGCGGCTCCGGGACCGCGCTCCCCCGGCCGGCTGCAGCCCCGGGGCCCGGCGCCTCGCGCCTGCCGGACGGGAACCGGCGCGCCCGCACGCACTTCCGCTCCCGAAGGCCAACGCGCCGCCGCGCATGCGCGGAACGGAAGCGGTAGTCGGGCGGGCCGGAGAGCGGTCTCCAGGGGAAGTGGCAGGAGGTGTACACCACGCGAGAGCAAAGCAGTGGAGACCGCTGGCTGCTGGCCGGGGGCAGCGAGAAAGCTCCGATTTGCAGAACCAGAGAGGGGATGAATAGGGCGGGAGGGAGGAAAACCGCAGAGCACGGAGGCTGCTGGCAGTGACAGGTCCGAATGCCTGGGTGGGTAGACAGGAAGAGGGCTTCCGTGGACCGCGAAGCCAAGGCATTGGCTGATTCGTTTCTGTGGATGTCGGTCAAAAATGGCGGTGAACGCAGAAGTGAAATCAGTGAGTCCAGCACCGAGGTCATCAGGGCCAGACGACCACAGGGAGGAAGGTGCAGATAGTACCGTTGGCCAAAATGGGTTTCAAAGGAGCTGGGACATGTGGAGTAGAAAGTGGGGGGCACTCCTATTCAGATCAAGAGATGCCAGAGACATTAAGGGAGAAGCAGCCCCTGGGGGAGAGCTGCAGAGGCTGGTGATCAGTGCTCAGGCAGGTGCGCACATGCGTGTGTGTGTGTGTGTGTGTGTGTGTGTTTGTAGAGAAGACCCCGTTAGACAACATGTATCTATTGTTACTTTTGGAGCCTGAGACTAAGTAGGCCCAAAGGGCTCCTAGGTTGAAAGGGGCCATTCAGTCCAAGCCATAGTCAAGACGATGTGAGACACAGCCCCCACATCTCCATGGTGGGTTCCCAGAGCCAGCTTGAATTCTCCCTCAGCCCTTGTTGAACTCAGGGCCTCGGATGTGCGGGGGTGAAAACAGACTCCAGAGTCTATTGGCTTGGCCATTACAGGCCATGCTTAGCTGCCTTGAACCCTGCCTGGCACAATTGCTCTTCATCCACGGACACACTCCCCCCCACCTTCTTCTTCAGGGTTTGAATCTTGAGGTTGCAGGAAGTATGTATTTCATGTGTGGGAGATGGTCCCCTTTCCCCCCCACCCCCCCACCCCCGGAGCAAGTACCAAGCCAGGCTGGGAGGGTGTGGAAGTGCTATGGGGCGATCAAAGTACAGCGCACTGTGTGTGAGTTTTATTCCGGGCCCGGGGGGCCAGACGCTCAGTCCCCTAGCAAAATGGAGGCCTCCCGTACATGCTGCCGAACCACACGGTCCAGCAGGGTGTGCACGTCACGGGCAGCCCGGGCAGCAGCCTCCAGCACCTGCTCCAGGTGGTCTTCGTGCAGCCTGGCGTCCATTTCAAGCAGTGCAAGCTGGCCTGAGGCTGGCAGCAGGGCCAGGGCAAGCTGGGGGCCACCAGCTGCCTCCTCCACGTGGCTGAGGTCCGCCAGGGCCGTGCTGTCCACAAAGCCAGCCGAGCAGGCGCACACGAAGTCCCGCATGGGTATCCCGGCGTCCAGCACTGCCAGCGTGGCTGCATTCACGCAAGCTGCGTAGGTCCCACCGTCGGCCTGCAGCACCTGCAGGAACCGCGCCCACCAGCGGCATCAGTGTATCAGGCTCTTGACCGCGGGCTCCCAACCCCCACCCCATCCCTCTCCCTCCCCAGGCGGATAGCTGCTGCCTGCTCACCTGCACATAGATATCGATCTGGGAGCGTGGGTGCAGCTGTGTAAGGATGGCCGCCTCGAAGGTCTGACGCAGCTGCAGGCCCATCTCGCAAGACTTACGGTCCCCATGTGGTCGCCGCTTGCGTTCGCCCGTGCTGAAGGTCGCAGAACTATACTGACAGTTCACCAGGGCCCTGTCAGGCAGGGCTCGTGCCCGGGAGCCCCGGATCTGGGGGAGGAAGGACACATGAGCCAGCCTCACTCCTGCCAGCTCGCACTACACCTTCCTCTAGCTCAGGCCCCGGACCTCAGGCTCCTTCCCACCCCTCCTCCTCCTTCCAACATCTCAACAACACAGCTACTTTACCTTCAAACGCCCCACAGGAGGGCCACTTGGCCCATCTCTAAGCCATCGTCCCCCCTCAGGTCTCCCCGTTTCCCTCCTCGCCTCATCCCCTCCCAGCCCATTCTCCATTTGTAGCCAGGGCCGGTATATTCACAAGTATCAAGTCTGACTTTGTCTCCTCTACACGCTCACATATGGTACTGCCTTCCCAAAGCTTCCCCATCACGTGTGACACAAAATCATAAATACTTTCCCTGGTCTGCGAAGCGGTGAGTTCTCACCTTCCTAGAAAGCCCTCAATCTCACTTTGAGTAATCCCCCACCTCCCACCAGCAGCCTTTCCACTCTGCAGACGTGCCGTGTTTGTTTCCACCCCAATGGTCTTCCCTTCTCCAGCAACGGAGACAAGTCCCTGCGGGGCGCCTGGGTGGCTCAGTCGGTTGAGCGTCCGACTTCAGCTCAGGTCACGATCTCGCGGTCCGTGAGTTCGAGCCTCGTCGGCTCTGGCTCTGCTCATGGCTCCAGAGCCTAAGTTCGATTCTGTCTCCCCTCTCCCTCCCTCCATCCTGCTCTCTGTCTCAAAAATAAATAAACGTTAAAAAAAATGTTTTAAAAAATAAAAAGAAAAGAAAAAAATAAAGTCCCTGTCCTCACGGAGTTACACTGCCGTCTGAAGTGACCGATTACCGAAAGGCAGGGAAGTGTGTGGTTGTAGGGGAGGGGGCTTGCCACGTGAGGAAGGCGGTCTGGGGAGGCGTCACCCCGGGGATGACGTCAGAGTAGAGAGCAGAGAGAGGACGCGAACGCGGGAGAGCGCGGGGCGCTTTGAGGAAGAGCAAAGAGGAGGGCAGGGCGGAGGGGAGAGAGGCCGGTGAGGAAGGCGGGGACCGCGGTGCACCACGCTGCCAGGACTTTGGCTCTGGAGCCGAGCGAGCGGCGGCGGCCCTGAAGATGGGCTGGGTGGACGCGGCGCGCGCCGGCTGTCGCCTCGGCATCTTCAGCTCAGCCTGGAGGCCCCGCGCACCCCGCCCAGCTCGCGCACGCCCACTCGCCTCGTGCGGCCCGTAGACCACCGCCAGCGCCTTGGTGTTGCCTTGCTCGATGTAGGCCGAGCCGTCGGCCTGCGCGAACACGCCCATCCGCGCCTGGATCTTGCGCAGCTCCCCGGCGCGCCGTCCGTCTACCCGGTAGCCCTGATCCGACAGCAGCTCCAGGCCCGCCATGTCGCCCGGCCGCTAGCCACGCTTCCGCCCCCCGCAAAACTACAGTTCCCGGCGGCTCTGACCCTCACTTCCGCCCTCCCGGCGGCCTGCGGTTTCCGGCGGCCGAACGCCCCACTTCCGGCCTCGGAGCACTAGGGTGCCAGGCGGCCCCGCTTGCCCTACTTCCGGCCGCGGGAGTCTTGGGCGGTGCTGACCTGGGCAAGAGCGCTGTGCCCGCGGGCGTTTTGGGGCGCTGTCCCACGGCTGCCAGAGGTGGAGACCGGCAGGGAGAAGGATCCCCCGGCCGCGCCCCTTCGGGTTTGTTGCGGGGGCGGTTTTAACGCTCACCCCCCCCCCCCCCCCCCCCCCGCCCGAGACCTCCCCGGACTTTCCCGCACGCGCCTACACCAGGTCCCGGAGGGCCGGGACCTGCCGCGCCCGGCCACTCCTCCACCCCACCTTCGAGGACCGCGCCTGCGCCCTGCCTGCTAGTCCCTGGCCGCGGAGGCTCCTCGGAGGTTGGGCGGGAGAGCGCAGCGCCTGCTGCAGGATGCGGCGTCCCGTCAGCGCTGATTTTCTTGCTCTTCCGCAGCCGTAAAGGCATGCGTTCTCCCAAGCCGAGACACGCTTTGTGTTTTCCTACCGTTTAGGTTTTACATTTGTACATTAAAAAAAATTGACACATAATCTGTACGGTACACACACATGCTCATACTCCTTTGATAGAGCGTTTAAGATTTTCTTTCCCATGTTGGCCGAGTTCTTTCTGTCCGCATCCCCTCTGCCCCCACACCCTCTTCCTTACCGTAATAAATAGTTCTTTCCAGGTTTTTCTCCACACTCAAATGTGATCACATGTGAATCAAGCACAGATACACGCCGTTGCACAGTCATGTAGCATTTGGATCTGTGGTGGTTATTACTATTTAATGGGAATCTTATATGCACTTTTCTGTTTTTCACTCAACACCTTATGAAATCCACGCAATCTTGTGGAACTCTCATTAATTTTTGATTGCCAGGATGTATCCCCGCTACTGCCCCACGTGGGCAGTGGGTGCCTGTCGAGGGGCTTAGGCAATGGGGATAGAATCCCACAATGCGGATTCTCTGAATGAAGAGTAAACGTGAGAGTTCCTTTTTCCCCTCTCTTCCCACCAAGAGTAACTGTTACATTTTTACATAATCCTTGCCAGTCCTGAGTGTTACTGACTTCACCTCTCTTTCCCGTATCCTGACTTGGTGTATTCCAGCACCTGGTGGCAATCCCACAGGAGGGAACTGCCAGTGTGTCTATAGGGGGGAGATATGAGGGGTTTTCCTCCGCAGGTACCTCCTGCTCCAGGTGTCTCTGTTTCCCAGTGGTCAAGGTCCCCAGCAGGAGGCTTGTGTCCCCCCTTCCAGCGGCATGACTCAGCTCCTCTACAGTGCTCAGGAAGCCAGAGCCCGTGCTCCAACTTGGAAAGTGGGAAGATGAGCCGAAAGGGTTGCCACACACTGAGAGGAGGTGCTAGGAGGAAGGTGTACAGGCCCCGCCCCCAGCATGCCCTCCGTTTACATCCAGCTCCCGCAAAGCCGGAAAACGGGCCACCTTTTTCCTCTGAGGATGAAGATACCCTCACCCTTTCCAAAAGGGGTTGCGTGGAGTTTGCATGTCTGTTTATCTCTTGCTGCATAACCTTAATGACTTCAAATAACAACAAATTATATTATCAGACCTTGCAATCCAGAGGATTGCCTGGGCTCATCTAGGTGGTTTGCACTGGGGATCTTTCCTGCCCGTGGTCACCGTGGACACTGACAGGTGTGGTCTTGAGGGCTTCCTCTCTCGCATCTTTCGTGGTTGTTGCTGGCTGTTGGCCGGGGCCTCATCTGGGCCTGTGAGACAGCATACCTACCCACAGCCTCTCCATGCACCCCATGCTTCCTGGAAGCATGGCGCCTGGGTTCTACGGTGACCTCAAAAGACAAGGTGGACACGTGGTGTTTGAAGACCTAGCCCCAGAAGTCACATAGTGTTATTCCCACCAGACTGCATGGGTCAAGGTGGTCACAAAGGTCTTGCCCAGGCTCAAGGGGAGGGACACGGACCCTGCCCCTCAATAGAAGCAGGATTAACGTCATGTCCCGAGAAAAGCAGGCGGAATGGACACAGTGTAATAGCAGGAGCCCAAGTCCTGCAAGCACAGCGTCCCCTCCGAGGTGGTGGTCTCTGAGCTGAGTACAGCACAAAAGCTGTGAGTCGGCCACGGCCCTGCCACTGTCCCTGGTCTAAGGCTATGATGGCCATCGTCCTCCGCAACCCCCCACCCACAGTCTCCCTGCCGTCAGTTCTTCGGCCGGACCCAGCTGGTTACTGGTGGTTTGATCCAGCCTTTTTCTCTCAGCGGTTTGAGCTCGGATTGTCCCCGTCCTTGCTGGGTCAAGATTGCAGTAGTTGTCCATTGACACAGGTGGAAACCCTACAGGGGTCCCCGCATGTGTCCTGCCCCAGTTGCACACCCAGGACAATCAGAATAATGTTGGTCCTGGCCTGCAGAGCCCCGAGCTCAAAGTGGCTGGGTGATGGCTCTTCCCTCCAGATCAGTGGAACCCTTATTGTCCTTCGGTGGAAGCGTGCCCTCCACCCCTGCTTCCAGCCTGGCAGCGTCTCCAGTTTAGGGGGCCATTCCTGCCCCCCTGGATTCTCTGACCCTGTGTTGTAAACACAGGTAGATCCAGGTTTGGGGGGCCTCACACTTGTACAAATTTGGGAGCTGTGTCGGGAATTCCGGACCACTCCTGGATTCAGTGATTTGCTTGGAGGACTTGTAGAATTTGGCACAGACTGTTGAACTTGTGGCTGAGCTTTATTCCAGAGAACGGGTGGTAATCAGCATCAGCAAAGGAACATGTGGCAAAATCAGGGAAACAAGCACAGCTTCCAGAACCCTCTCCCAGAGACCCCGCAGGACACACTCCCAATCCCCACAGCAGCAGGCGGTGACAGCATGTGTGGAATGCTGTCCACTGGGATGCTCACCGGAGACTCAGCACCCAGGGTGTTCACAGGGGGCTGGTCATGTTGGCGCCCTCTGCCTGGCACAAACCCCGATTCCTAATGCCTAGGAGGAAGTCAGGAGATCCCCATAAGCCATATTTATTTGTTGAGTTTAGGCTCAATGGGCCACTCTTAGGGAACGGCAGGAACCTTCTGGAAGCCGAAGCTCCCCGACACCAGCTAACCCTGTGAGCACATCTTCCGAAGGAGAGCCGTCTCAGCCCCGCCGTGTTAACTCTTTCCTGCATAGTGCTGTTTTCAACAAATAGAAGACAAAATCATATACGCGAAATTAAGTGAACAGAGTGACAAGAGAAACCCTAACACATAACGTAAATTTTTAGAGTTCACCAAAAGCACAAACATCACAAAACAAAGAAGATCAACATAATGTCGTGAATTGTCTTCCCGAAATATTTCTCTAACACGTTTCCCTTATGCTTTTGGGGGGTTTTTTCGGTTTGCTTTTTGTTTATTCAGGCAGGAAGCAGGATTTATTGGTGGGCATGAATGGGGACGGGCAGCCTGAAGTTCTCGTGAGTGCAGAGCCCGCCATTTGTCCAAGGGGCCGTGATGAGGGAGGTATTTGACCCCATAGCCATCTGGGATGAACGGCTTTTCAGCCACCATGTCTTCAGATTCGTCCGCATTAAACTCAGTAAAGCCCCACTTCTTGGAGACGTGGATCTTCTGGCGGCCAGGGAACTTGAACTTGGCCCTGCGCGGGGCCTCCGTCACAGGCCCCTTGTTCGCAGCTTGGTACGGATGGACACGACGACTTGGCCAGTGCGCACCCCCCGCCACTGTGCCCTGGGGCTTTCCAAAGACACCCCGCATACCTGTCTGCAGCCTAGATTGGAGAAAGCATGTGATCAGACATCAATCTCCACTGGAAGCGCTGTCTCCGCGGTCCCTTAGGGCCAACCGTGCAGTCAGTAAGCTGCACACACTACCGGGGAGGCTGCTGTTGGCCGCCATTGCACAGCAGCCTCCGCGGGGAAAGGCACAGCCAGAAACCCTGACACCGAGGACAGCACAGACGCGTCCCGACAGTGTCCCACCCTCAGAGGGGCTAATAGTCGGCTGGGAGTGTGCAGGACCCTCAACGGGCTGTCACTTTCCCATTAGACTGAAGGGGAACTTGGGAAGATAGGTGAGTCCAGGGTCGTGAGCTCGTTGCCCCAGGCCATCAGCTCTAACATGGGTCCCTAGCGTGCAGCGCTAGCCAGTGGGAAGTAGGGCAAGCCTGGGTAAGCCAGGAGGGAGGTGCTAGCGGAGGGACGCTGGGTGGGAGGGTCCAGGGTCACGGGTCACTGCTGCACGGGTGGGGTGTTTAGCAGCAGCGAAAGCTGTGCAGAACCACCCGCTGACCCACGGCCACTCCACTCACGGGCATTTGCCTAAGCAAAGCTGTGATGTCTTTTTCTGCTAAGTGCAAAATCTGGGCTTCAAAAAGCAATTAGTGTTACCTATCTCTCCCGGGCAACTACCACACTATCCTGGTCCTTTGCACAGTTCATGATTTTCTGTTGAAAACTGGACACTTGGGG